AAATCACATCCGGCAAATTGGGCTTTGTAGCCGGCGACTGGGCTTATTAGCCCAGTAAAATTCCGTCCCAAGCTGATGTGGGCTTAATACGCGGCTGGGCTTATTAACCGTGGGCTTAATAGCCGTCGACTACTGTACTATTAGACTATATATGCCCTTTGGTTAGCCCTGCCAGCCCTCTACACAGCTGTGTTCTCCCTCTCCTTCGTCAAAATGTCGACGTTCACTCACCGACTACTAGCGTGCGTGACTGTGCGTGTGAGAGGGTGAAGACATGAAAACAAATTAGCAGGCCATGCTTTCGGCTACTTTGGACAGATAAGGGAAGGATGGAAGGGGGAGAAGGCGAGACTAACAGGAGACAGTAATATCTGTATGCATAAGTGTCTGTTTGCCCGACTGGATATGCGCCTCATTAGAGACATATCCGTTAGAAGGGCAAGACAGCAGGTGATCGTAGGCTGGATTGTCTGAAAATATCCAGTTTAATTGGGCTTGAAGCTATCCCTCCCCCCCCTAGGACTTGTTCCATTTTTTTCCTCTTCCCTTCTTAAGTCTCTGGTTCTTTCGGAACCGGCCAGAAATGATTTTTTTTAATTTCCTGCAATTGCATCCTACACTAAGTACTAGCAAAAGACGAACCTTATATGAGGGGCAGCTAGCAGCTGTTCGATAGCTTGTCCCTAAATGACGTACGTCATAGTTTTATCCCACTGACGAAGGTAGCATCAGAATATCGCTTTCCCCCAGTCTCATTTGGGGCGCCTGCGTCCTCAGCAAGAGGCATATATAAAGTCGCAGCTGCTACTACAAACTAATGTGGTTTAAAGGCATTCATGGGCAGCGGATGCAGTTTTAATGGAAGAATGGTTACTCATACGAGGTTTAAGTATGCAGACCAATCAAACGATTCTGCAGATTTTTTTCGCTGTAACAGTATCAGCTGTCCAGTGTTAAAATGAATCTTTGGTCTGCCTGATCAGAAACAAAGCCTGGAAGGTTTTTATATCATTTCCTCTGGACAGTAGTGCTTATTAGTGTCTGCCGGATCATATTTGAGCGTCTGACTTCCCAACATCGAATCCCGTATGTTGTGTGTTCTGTTTAAGAAGAAGGCACACAGGTTCCTGACCCAGACCCTGCAGCCTCCTTCTTCATGTTAATGCACACTGAAAACTTTATCCAAAGTGTTCCATTATTCTGTTCTATCCAAGCAGTTTTGCTGTCTTATCGAATATGAAGGCAGCGGATGCCAATTCGAATGGAGATTTTACTCAAAAGCAGCAGGTAAGCAAGAGACATTGAATGGAATAAGGGACAGGAACAGAGTCATCAAACTACTGGCAATCGCAATTTACAAACTCATTCAGACTACTAAAGTTGGCGCGCACAAATGATGTAATGGACTGCGAATACAGAAATCTCAATAGCTAGGGGGCATGATCTTCGATAATGTCGGAGTTTAAATACCCCTTCGTTTAGTTATATGTGTTTAGCCACGGGCTGCCATCGCGGTTACTCGAAGTCACGTGGGAGCAGTACTGATCGATCCCGCCTTAATCCGCCTATGCTTTCCTGTTAGTAGGTCACTTTGGCTAACTTCCCTCCCGTAAACGCTAAGTATATCATACATACCGATAAAATGGAGTTTCCAGTTGGTCCTCGGAGCTGCCTGCGTGAGATCTCGGCATACGGGTGGTCTGAATTGGTTTAAGGACAGGTGGTCGCCAGGAGATGTTATATGTAAGCTTTTTGACCGACACCAGATGATGCTCCAAATAAGTTGGTGGAGGGATTCGGTGTGAATCTACAATTGAGGGGTTGCATGAAAAAGATTAACAGTAGCCTTCTTCTGCGTTCATTTGGGCCACAGTAAGTTACTTGATTCCTAACTAACAACGGAGATGAGATTCTCTCAGATCAACAATAATTAAGTGTACTTTATCAGGAGATAAAATGCCCCCTATGAGGCAAAATATTTTGCCAAATTTGCCCAAGCTGGAACTCCCTTTGCATTTGCTGGAAGTGAACTCAACCACCTTTTCAACAGTTCTAGTCTGAATATATGAACAAACGCGACAAGAGTTTGTAACCTGTTGTGGAGCAACCCATCATAGGATGCGGCAGTATGGTTGAAACTCTGCAGAACTTTTAACCCATGCAAGAATGGTACAATCGGGTTGCCATACAGATATATAAGTTAATTCGCGTAATATGATGCAGCATCTACTTCTGTCGATCTCCATTGTCTACCGAAACCTGCAACCATTCTTCGCTTGTGCGAACTCCAGCTCAGATTAATGGTTCCTTTCTTATAGCCACCCTCCGAATACTGAAGAAGATGACTGAATTTTTAAGAGAGGCATATTTCGCGTTGGAAGAAACCAATAATTAGGAGACAAACAAGGTGGTCGCCCTAATAGCCGTGGTTAAATAGCTATAGGTGTAAAGAGCATGTTATTGTAGCCTACCATCTAGTCCAGATAGGTAACACTATCTTATGAGTGCTAAGATTATACCTCAAACCAACAGGAAACCAATGCATAAATTTATTTCAGAGGCAGCATACACCTATATTAGGTAGCCTGAAAGATTTAAGCATGTACACTAAAAATAAAAGACTATTTCGCACAAAAAATATCCAAAATTGTCCAGCAGCAGAGAATTGCGAAATGCGCACGCATTAACAGGAACACTTTGATAGTGAAAAAGTGATTATGATCCCCGACATGTTCCACCTAACAAAACGTGCACAAATAAAACAAAATTTGTGCTTTTAATTCAAGTGCAACCGGCAGGCAAAAGAAAAAAACAATTGAATTATATTTCCATCATTCACAAAATGGAAAGGCATGGGAATTCAAACACCTTCAGGGAAACAGGCGAACTTGCGTTACATTCCAGAGAAGGACATTTATTTCCATGTATAAACTCTATCCTAATCTTAAGTCTAACTTTATACTTAAATGTAATCCTAACCCTAAATCCAACCCTTCCACCTCCTCTTAACCATAATATTCCTGAAAGTTCCAGTCTAATTATATAACGGATGAAATCGATTTCAGCTCTTTCATTTTTGGTGTAATTAGCGGACATGATTTGAATTCAATCTTCCTGCACAGAAGTGTCTCGATCTGATAACACCTGAGGTTAACAGAAACGCAGATACTTACCTAATTCATATTTTCCAATTGGCTTGGAAGGCTTTGTCACTGTCAAGTTTGGACGACAGGACATTGGCAATCAGAAAAGGATGTAAAAAGATTTTAACATAATTCTTAGTTTATGGTTTTTTTTCATCCAAGCTTCTGCGGCCATGCCCGTAATCTCTGTGAATTTTAATTCATCCTTGTAAATTGGAACTTTAACGCCATCCAAACATGAGGTTTACCTGGTTCTCCGAATGCCCTTATTAAGAATTATGAAGTGCTGAATGCATTGGGCAGTCGTTTTGTACACAAATTTCTCCGCCATCACTGTTACGCCTATTCTCTAAGTACCACTTCTTTTTCATTATTTTTGCTCTATGTTTCCAATTAATATTTCGCCTTGCGTGCATGCACGAAGTTATTTCTCAATGTTAGTAATATAATTAGTCAGGCAAGTTCAAGGCTAGCCTTGGCAAATATATTCCTGGATTTGGAGGGCAAATGCTCCCGGAATGCATGCCATTAAGATGCACCAAATACTGATACTCACCCTGCGACGATTGTACTTTGCCTTTACTTCACACTTTAAGTAAGTGCCTTCCATGCCTATTACTCTGCGCTGAGATACCGGGACAAAACCAGAGTCGCTGTGAAAAGCACTACCTGATAGTATTTTTACTCTTCGCCGGTGCCTGACAACCACTCGCAAAAACTAGCATCAGTAGCAATATATTTTTACTACCTAAGCAGAAGCCGAATGTTGTCTTTAGCTGAGATGGAGTTAGGGCTGTAGCAGACCTTTTACTTTTTCGCAGGAGGATAAGGTAGATGAGTGCTCAGGCAAAGCTCACACGCACGACTTCTAAGTAGAAAAAATAATCGAAAAAGCAGAAGCCCGATCATCTATGCTTTAAATTCCGACTGGACTTCGTGCTGGAGATCGTTCAGATGGTGAGCAGTAGGTTTGATGCCACTGCCATTCGTCGATAGCATGTTCGCGTTGCCGAGACGAAGACAGTTATCAAAAAAAATTATTTTATAGTCGTCAGTCCTCGAGACGAATCATCGTAAACATAATTAATACCTCCCTCATTACGACTAATAGTTTCGGTGTCATAGTCATGGGTCTTATAAACCACGCAGATACGGTATGAGTATCATAGCAACGCCCACCTAACTATACGAGGCTGAAGAGTTTTTTCAATGGGGTATTCCTCCTTTTGCGTTTGTAAACTCTTTGACACTAACATTTACCAGATTAAACAGGGTAGAGTAACGTTACCATCAGCCTGCTACAGTAATTCCACTAAAAATGCTAATTGAAATAGGTTTGTTTGTGCAAATAAGTTTCATACAACCGGTGAATTGACCCAAAGCCAAATTTTCGCGTACGTAGTTGACACGATCTTGGATACACAAGGCCATTCTGGGGCTAATTCGCCCACGGTCCTCTAATCTAGCATGAAACTTTCCCTTTGCAGTTAAATATATAGTACGCAAATCGTGACCAAGCAGTGTTACTGATGCGGAATTTGCTCAGTGCCACACGATTGGATTCTTATAATATTTTTAAGATTTCATTTAACAACTAGTTAGGCCCTTATGCAAGTTGGCTGCACTGATGTTCTGCTATATTCAAAATCTCGTTCACCAAGTTTAAAGGAATAGATGAGTCTGAGGGATGCCTGATAGTTTTCCTGGTAATGACTAATCTACCTTCGTTTATGCAACTGAAATGCGAAGCCCAGGGCAGGGATTGATCGTCGAAACAAGCCGGAGTGCACAGGCAGCCAATTTGGATGGCTGAAATGGGTGGATGGGTAGAGCGAGAACCACCATCGCCGCCGTCATTGACAGCTTTGCCCTGGTTAGCGGCCTCAGCGTCAGGTACCACAAAGACCGAGTAGTGGCAATTGAGTTGTAGGGGAGAAATCTCGACGCGGCCAGAACGGATGAGTCTGGCGGGTGCAAGACCGGACGTACTCACGGGCTCCATGACGACGAAACGGCTCTGTTCAGTGGTAAAATAGTTGCCAGAAGAACTTTTTCCTGCAATATTCGCTCCTGAGACTTCCAGAGGGACAAACGTCTTGGAGACCTGGGCACTGGTTTCTATGCAGGCGACCGGCTTCCACTTCAGGTGAAGTAGACGTGGTGAAAAGTGCTCATCTAAGTTAACAACATAAAATAAACCTCTTAGAAGGAAGTCGAGTTAAGCGATTAAAGATGAGTCTTAATTAAAATATAGACAATGCACGATAGCAAGAAAAGAGAAGGCTTCATGTTTCTCAACGCCATCTTGAGGATAGGAACCAACGTGACTGCGTACTACTTTTAATTTTCAAATTGATAAGTATTAGGATGCGAACGGGTGTGGATGCGATGTTCCCACCATATAGCAATCGACTAGCCATACCTGGCCTTATTTGATTTCGGCCCCTTGGTTCAAAGAATTCATTGATAGTCAGGAAAGTCTTCAGAAATTGACCATCAAAAACGCCCGGATCGTTAGCAAAACGAATAATAAGTCCACCGGTCTCGTGTGGAGCAGAGCTTTGATCGACTTGAATGCTTCGGAAACCGGACGTTATGAACAGTCGACTCTTTTGACGGTTGCTTCGTCGGGGGTCTTCACATTCACAATTGAATGTCTCCGCGGCCTCGTGAATCGCCTCTGAAACGGTAAAAATGTATGCTTAGCAGTCCAATAGATGATAAAATGAAATCTTTTAGCGGCAGCTTTTAGCAGGA